GGGGGGAAAGTGAGTTCATTATTTGATATAATACAATATCTCAGGATGAAGAACGTAGTATGGTGTGTAGATTATTTGTTTAATCCATAACAAAAGTAATTAATGCTGGACATAATATAACCTGAATTTGTTTCTACAAGTTAATACAATCTATTTCTAATTCCGTCTATGTTTTTCTTAAATAATTTTGAGATAAGAATAAGTTTGTTGTTGTTCTTGTAAATACAATCTGTTTCTCTATCGAACAACGTGGCTACATAGTCCTTGAATTTTGGGCCAATGTTAATACTTTGGGATTCTAAATTCTTTGTCAATTTAATTCTTGAAGTTTTAAAAATTTCAGCTCAAAATATGAGGAGAATTCTGTTTGATATGTGCATGTGATGTAGTTTTGTCCTTTATAGGAGAGAGCCATACCAGTAGTGAGGTAAGAGGAAGTGAAAGATCCAACAATGTTCATCATTCCGAAGGCAATCATTTCTTTGTTTCCATCAATGTGGTAATTCTTGAACATGGCAAAGCTTCTGCCCACTGCTATTCCTTCCTGTTTTTTTTCCATAGAAATTACCGTGTCACAAAAAATAAGATATAGAAACCCGTGCCACTACGGAGTTAGAAGTATAAATCGGGTGGTCTATGCCCTTTTCTAAGTATGTGGGGCCAATAGGATTTTTGCCATTTTGCTAAAATTTTACGAGTTTCACATCTCAGGATGCTCGGCACATTCTAATATACCTCTAGACAACGGTCCTTCTTCCCGTCCCCTACCAGGCCCTGTTTGACACATTCTGGTATCTGTGGATGATGCTCTTCCTGTCCGTCTCCTACCGTGCCCACCCTCAGGCCACCTCCCAAATTTATCACCACAGAAGACTACATAGATTGGTGAAAGAAAAGATAAAACTTACTGCGAGAGAGATGATGCCCGTGACAATGCCAGTTTTGATTACTGTGGTCAGATATCGTGAATCAAATTCAAGATCCATAATTGATGGTGGATTTATCCCTTTCTTCAATTGCCCAATCTGTTTATTATTCAAATGAAAATCATATAAAATATTTTATATTCATGCACAATACATTTCAAAATAGTTGCAAAGGACAAAATCAGTCAAGACTTTGTCTAAACCTGTCCACTGAAATTGCCAAATGAATAGCCGTTTTTCTTCCTTTTTTGGTTAAAGTTTTGATATGAAAAAAAGTTTTCTTTAATCATAATTTTCCTAATTATTGAGTAAGTGAAGGGCTCACCACTTGGACACCATGTTTTTCAGCGCGGGTAAGGTAAACCAGCAGTGTTCCCAAGATAACTGAAGTCAACGGAGCCGTTGCTGATATCCAGAAAAGATTTGGTCGCTTTTTGCTCTACATGTTTGATACATAGTATTAGACAATATTATACATAACGATAAACAAAATTTAAACAAATTCTTTTCTTTCCAACCCTTGTTGTGTACTATTCAGTCGAGCTTACAAAACATGTCTGTGGACAATTGAAGTACGTAGGGGTGGCTCGTTAACCCACGAGCTCGGGCTCGGCTCGTTGCTTGTGGGCGAGCTCGGCTCGGCCCGGCCCACGAG